ACATATGTTTACACAGAGATATTGGGGAGTGATGCACAAATACCTTAACCCCCAGTCGGAGCCCACAGGTGGATGCTGAAGTGGTGGTGGGGCTTACAGAGCAGCAGGCAGCAATAGCTTAAAGAGCAGCAGCAGTAATACGGATGCAGGGCAACAGCGGCATTGACAGAGCAGAGGGAGAGCTGGGAAACTGTGCAGTTTAAATAGACCGCCAGATTGGAAGGGTGCGCTTGGTTAGGGATTATGGAATAAGGCATGTCATGTGCATATCAGCGCAGCTCGAGTTGACTGCCTGAACTAGCTCGCAGCCCAATATCACCTGGACTATAATAATTCTGCATAATGTACCTATGTTCTGTCTGTAGAGAGAGCTGCGATCTGCTGTCAGAAGTCTCCAAGAGCAGTTAGAGAGTTTAACCTCCATCAGACAAACCTGGGAGGACACTGCTGTTCACATCAAGGTACTTGTAGGAGAATAACCCACAATTGTACATTATGTACGAACTAGCAAAATCTGTCTGAACTGGCTCAGAGTGCTGCACTTGTTCACGCTGGAGTTACTGAGCCATGTGCTTTGGACATTAACAGTTGGGAGTGAATGTTCTCATCTTAAATTTGCTTGGATTGGACATATTGTGTTAAAGACGCATTATTCAACCATTTAGAATCCTGTGATGGTTGAAATATTGTTGTTGTTTTACAGAAGTTCTGGGCATATAATGAATTCATATTTTTATTTAAAGGGAAACATTTAAAGATTAAGTAAATATTTTCATTTACATGTACATTTAATATACATTTTCTATGTAAGTGAAATTTCAGTAGAGCTTTAAAATATATTTGATGCCCTGGGAATGAGACTCAATAATCAACTATCTTTCTTGGCTCAGATTTTTTTCACAGATTATCTGTCTGTCACTACTGTCAGGATATAGTGAAAGTTTCAGCAAATATGACAAGAAATTATTTTGGTAAAAAATCATGATGTTCTGTAACTTGTTGTCAGAGCCAGTCAGTACAAACAGCCCAGGTCTTAAGGGAGGAGTTTGAGAAGATGCACCAGTACCTCCGTGATGAGGAGGCTGCTCTGATGTCACAGCTAAAACAGGAAGACGAGGAGAAGAGTCAGAGGATGGAAGAAAAGATTGATAGGATCAACAATGACATACGAGCACTGACCAACAGTATCAGAGAGACAGAAGAGGCCATGGGTTTGGATGACTTCCTCTTTCTGAAGGTAGTTTGTTTGTATTTGTATTGCAGTTTTGTATTCCAGGGACCAGGACTAAAAACAACTGATTTATGCCACTATAAAGTAGTCTTTCTTGCAATGTAAAGCGCATACTTTCACACATCACAGTAAATTTATTCAGCAGTCAAATGTCAGTGTATTTGTCAGCTATTCTATGTACAATATGTAAATCAAATTCTGAAACTTGCCTGAGGTGTGGAATGTATCACTGTAAACATGCTTTTGTGTTTGTCAGTCTCGCTTTATTATTATGACATAAGGCAGTAAACTCTCAAATATATCTACACTGAAACATTACGATGTAATGATTCTGTAACTTTCAGCTAGTTTCGACAGTAAATAAGTGTAACATTTAGAAATCAATCTCACCACAAGGTCCAGTCAGTTCAATCATGTCACATGGAGGGTCACATCTGCTAAAATAATAAATAAATAAATGACTCAATGAATACATTAATATCCCATTAAATGCACCAAAAATAACATTAAAATAAATGTAGGCATTTATGTGTGCTTATGTGTTTAGATAGATAGATAGATAGATAGATAGATAGATAGATAGATAGATAGATAGATAGATAGATAGATAGAAAGGTAGATAGATAGATAGATAGATAGATAGATAGATAGATAGATAGATAGATAGATAGATAGATAGATAGATAGATAGATAGATAGAAAGGTAGATAGATAGATACTTTATTGATCCCAAGCTGGGAAATTGCAGTTTATTTACCTTTGCATTAAAGCTACAGTAGGTAATTTGATTTTTTTTTAAATGTTGTCATATTTTTAAATGTTGTCATATAATATGTGGCTATATTAGCAATGTGCTGCTGTGGAGGACCATTGACACATCTACACCTTTCTACACATTTTCAAGGAGGTCATTAACTTTCATTAGCATGTGTGGAAAATCACATGTCATTTGACTTGGCGGTAGTTCAAGAGAAAGAATACCACAGAGGGAAAGGGTCCATCATCTGCAATTGCATGGCAATCAACTATTAAATTTAGACATATCTTGGAGGTGAAACTTCTGACCAGGTCCTTGTGCCAAGTTTAACAAACCTTTTTTAAGAAGGTTGTGTTCTGTTTCCACTCCTCTTTTGTGAAGAGAGTAGTTTATCTGTATCTCCTCTGTCCCCACAGAACTACAAGAAGGCCTCTGAAAGGTGAGCTCATTAAGTTAATGTGTTCAATGAGAATCCATTTCATAATCCATAATCCATTTCACAAAATAATCATTTTCATTGGACACATAATGGTACAAAAAATACTAACCGTGACTATGGTTGAGTTTTATTAGTATTATCAGTCAGTATTTACTAAAAATCATATACTGGCTAACAATTTAACTGACTTAATTTCACAAAAAAGGGAATATCTATTTGTGCTTAATGCTACTACAAGGATTATGGAATTTATAGTTGTATTCCTACAAAGCGTTTTCTAATCTATGTCTGTTTAACTCAAATATTTTATGTACTTACTGTAAATCATGGGATTTGCCTCACCACATACTGTACCTTACCTGCAAGTGTTGCACACAATGCCAACCATACAGATGTTGTAGTGTGGTACTGTAGGTCATCTCCAGTCTCTGCTGTTTGCTCCAGGGCTCAGTGCAGAGTAGAGGAGCCTGAACTGGGATCAAGAGCTCTGCTTGATGTGGCCAAACTCCAGAGCTGTGTGCAGTACCAAGTCTGGGACAAGATGCTGAAGATCATCCAGTACTGTGAGCAAAGCACACAGCAAATGATTGGATAGTTCAGATTTTATGACATAAGATGATATAATTTACTCATGATTAAAAATAATAGGGCTTTTCCATTAGCTCTTTTGGCCACACAGAGTCAAACCATGCTGCGTTGATTTGTGTTTCTATTTCCGGTTGAAACGGGCCAATTTGTGCAAAGTTCTGCCCAAGATGGACCATCTCTGGAGCTGGGTCAATGTGTGCCCAGTCTGCCTCTAAATGGGTTGCGGTGACATCAGGTGGATTGCTGTTTGCGGCAGAGGCTATACTTGGAATCAAGCGCAGTATTAGTTCTTCTTCTGTGCTTATAAACGTCATTTTTTTAATGACAGTCACAATAATGTACCAATCATGTGAGTGGCAATGGCGTCTCCTTACACGGGGAAGCATTGTTATTTTGATGCTCTTGCTTGATTTGATTGGCTAGAAAAACAGGAGGCACGGGGCAAGAGAGGAGCACACACCAGAAGCGCCATACCACAAGAAAACAATGGTTTTGTTGGCAAAACGTTTCTTTTTTTCTATTTTTGGGGCTTTTATTGCATATAATTGATAGTAACAGCTGAAGAGTGACAGGAAAGGGGGAAGAGAGAGAGGGGATTACACACAGCAAAGAGCCACAGGTCGGATTTCAACCCTGGGCCGCCGCTATCCAGGCGCCCCAGTGATGTGTTTCTAGCGATGGATCTCTGTGTGACCGGTTCTTACCTGCCTTTTTCTCCCATCAAAGATAATTGCAAGTGCCAACTTTCTGTCAAACTGATATCATTGCTAGGCTTATTGTTCAGGTTTTCAAATTGTTCTGTTTACTTGCACACGTGGTAATTAACTGTATGTGTGCTGTGTGTTGCCTGTAGGTATTGATTCCCACCTTTGTTTCTTTGTCTCTCACTTCCTCAGTTCCGGTGACCATGGACCCAAACACAGGCTCGGTGTGTCTGGGTGTGTCTCCTGACCTGTCCAGTGTGTTTGTGTGTGAGGAGCAGCCTCTTCCAGATAATCCCGAGAGGTTTGTGAGCCCGCAGAGCATCCTGGGCTCCGAGTGCTTCAGCTCAGGGAGGCACAGCTGGGAGGTGGAGGTGGGAGATAACAGTCACTGGTCTCTCGGTGTGGCCAGTGAGACAATCCACAGAAAGGACTGGTCCAACTCTGATCTAAACCCCAGTCCTGCCTCAGATATAGACCCTGGTGGTGGCCTGTGGACTGTGTCACTCTCCTCTGGAGAGTTCTGGGCCTCCCCCGGCCATAGCAGCCCCCTCAGACTGAGACGAAGGCCACCCAGAATCAGAATTCAGCTGGACTGGGAGAGAGGGTGTCTGACTTTCTCTGATGCCAACGACAACACCCTGATCCATCGTTTTAAAGAGCAGTGGAGCGGCAGTCTGAGACCCTACTTCTCCACCACATGTTCCAAACACCCTCTGAAAGTCACAGCAGGGAGGGTGACTGTCACCATCGAATGATACTTAAGGAACATGACTTTTTGAGAAACAGACATGTTTGTCAATCCAACAGTTAGTTTTAAAAAAGTACAATTAATCTCTGTGTGTCTTATTTAACCCTTATTTAAACTTTATTTAATCTTGCTTTGCACAAAGACTTGAGCACCAGGAAACTACTAGCCGTAACTCAGTAAGTAAAAAAAATGATGCGTTACTTCCATGTTATGCCTTTCTTATTTAAGAAGTATTTTACTGAGGATAATCAACCTGCTTAGTGCCATTCTGGAGTTGTATGTAAGTATTTAAAGGACAAATTAAAAAGTCTGCACATATTCTACACACACATTTTTTCTTTTTGTCAACAGAAGCTACGAAAAGACCAGAAGCAGTGAATGTATCCAAATAACAAGTAATGTGTGTATGTATCAAGTCTGAAATCTTATTATCTGTGCCATAGAGCTCCATTGTTGTCCAAAAAGACATCAGTGTTTTCTCGCAAATTTATGAAATTTAGAAAATATTCAAGTTTCTTCTTGTAAAAGTCATTATTATTTTCTCAGAAATGTACCATTTTAACCAAAGAGAATATCAGATTTTTCGTCTTGTAAATGTACAACTTTAATATTGGGAATTAAAACGAGTTTCTGCTAAACATCTACTACAATGTATTTTCATTTAAGTGTTACGTCCCGCTCTGCTCCCTAGGTTTGTCTTTGTTTCGAGGTATTTATTCATGGTTTCCTCTTTTATTTTGAAAAACTCTCCTCTCTCAATTTTTTTTTCTGCCATTTTTTCTCATAATTTCATCACTTTAACCTCAGAGACCATCAAAGTTTTTTCTTGTGAATTTAAAACTTTAGAATTGGAAATTCTTATTTTTCATAACCTACAATGGCCCTAATACGCCATCATAGTTCTGTCCCTTCTGCCATATCAGCGCTAAATAAATGACCCTGTTTAACACTGTATGTGGAGATGTACACTGTATCCGTGTGCTCCCCCACGTTAGACTCTCAAAGATTTCTTATTAGGAAACATGCCATCCAAAACAGGTGAACAATAAAACGGTTCAGTTGTCAGGAAGTGGCTATGGCTTAAAGCTGCAGTAGTTAAAAACAAATTAAAGCTCTTTGACTTAAAACTTTCATAATATGCATGACAGTATCAGAATCCACCGGGCCAGCACAAAAACAACCAATCAGAACCGAGACAGATACCTGATTGTTGAGTGTCAGCCCCAGGTTGTCAAAAACTAATTCTGGGAATGAGACTCAATTTATCAACTAACAATCAAGCCTCTAACCCAAAGCCTCTGATTGGTTGTTTTCATTCAGGCCCGGTTTATTCTTGCAAATACCATTAAAGCACTAGGAGGAGCCAGAGGAACCGGATGTTTTCACAGATTATCTGTCTCATGTAATACTGTCAGGATATAGTGAAGAAAATCTTTTTTTTTTTTTTTTTTTTCAATTTCTGCAACTAAAAGTTATTTTTATAAAAAATGTCTACTGTAGCTTTAATTCTCACTCCACCCAGGACTTTATTTTCCAAGTTTACAAAGACAGAGGCTGGGGGTCCCAAATGTGGAATGGATTTACACAGCCTCCAGGTTAACCAGAGTTACTTGACATGCATGGGAGGAAGGTTCCATTAGCCACTGACAACCCAGATATTCAGGAGGAAGGCCAATGGAAAGCCGGACACACAGGCTGGTTACAAAGGGAGCCTTGCTGAGGTGTCTTTCTTCTGCTGGGACAACACCTGCTGCTGCCTGTCTGTCTGATCCGTCCATCTCACAGCAGCCACAAGCGTCTGACCATCTGTCTGTCTGAGGGAAAACATCACCTGACCTGTTCTGGAAGTGGCACTAACGCACAAACACTGAAGCATTTGGCACATACACATGTATTTGACCTTTTTGACTCACTCAACACACACACACACACACACACACACACACACACACACACACACACACACACACACACACAAACATCAATGATCTGCTTTCTTAAAATACACTACCATCTCATTACAGGAGAATCAAGACGAGTTCAGCAAACACAACAAATAAAAATAACATTAGGGAGTTGTGTTGCCCAACAGTGGATATGAGGGTCACAGAAAGTCTAATCCAGGTCAATGATGTAGACCCTGAAATCATACCCTGTGATAAATCTCTCCACACAGCTGAGTTATGTTTACAGTAACTTGACCACTGTGTTAGATTAAGTGTTCATTTCTTCCCAGAAGGTCTTCGTAGACAAAATCTACATTAGAAACATAAAAAATTTGACTGGTATGACGGTCAAAATGGTTGAGTTTGTTTTAATACTTTGTCTAGAGACAACACATTTTAGCCATTATTCACAGAGTTAAACTTATTATGTCCAGTTAAAGCTGTGATTTTTTCCAGAAGCTCTCATATTATGAATATGAACAACTAGAAGAACATGAAGGAAATTGTTCATTTGAGTGTCAGTTGAAATATTGGTTATATAGCATAACCACTATATGAGTTAAATCTGCAATTCCTTACTTTTTCTACCTTAGAAACTTTGAAAACCTTGTTTATAAAAGAAATCATAATTTGGAGCGCAAGGTGTCGCCAGAGCAACATGATTGTTTCACAGATTATCTGTCTCATGTGCTACTGTCAGGATATAGTGAAAGTGTCAGCAATATTACAAAAAGCTATTTGTATAAAAGTTACCTAGTGCAGCTTTACTATAAGGTAAGATTTAGATAATACTTATCCCTGGGGTTAAATTCATCAGCTACCCAGCACTATATAAAGTACTTGAAATTCACTTTCACCTTTACCAGCACACATTAATACATCATTAATTATTATCGGGTAATATAATATACATTCTTCTTAAATGGGCCATTCTGCATAATGAGTACTTTTACTTAGGGTGCTTTTATATTTTTATGCCATTTTTTGTACTTTTACCTAAGTACAAGGTCTGAGTACATCCTCCACAACTGGCAATACTGAATCTCACTCCAAACTAAATGGAAAAGTTGGCAGCCCTACAGTTAACTTCCAACTGTAGAAAATTAAGTAGCCTTTTTTGACAGTAGATGGCAGTAGTGGCTTTCGTATATTAGTGACCAGCGCTGTAATCATTGCTTAGAAGGAAGTTGTGCACCACAAAATCCTCCACAATCTGCTCTAGGTTCAACTTCTCTGCTTGTTCTTTCTCGAAGAATAATACCCAGTCCTGTCAGCCTCTCTATCCTACTGTAACCAATGTCAAATTAGTAATTAATTAAGATAGATGCAAACTTTTTTAACTATGCTGAGGTACAGTAATACTAACCTTAATGACATAATCCTTCATTTTAGTCATTATTGTGCTTTTTTTTTTGTCCTGTTCACTAAGTGTTAGCCCCAGCATGGGCGCGACAGTTTTTCTGCAACACCATGACACTTGGCTCCATTTCATTCCTATGGCTGCTGCTCAGTGGTGCAGTAATCCAAAAGAGTTCGTCTTCCTGGTATAAAATTACTCAGATCTTGCCAAGACCTCGGTCCCTCTATTTTCAAAGATGCCCCAGTGCTCTGTACCCCAGGGCACAGCACGCCAGGCATCCAGACAGTTACAACCCTGAGGTGCAGCGATCCTTTTTGACAAGGGGTGCCATATTACTGGACTGTCATACCAACCAACACAGCAAAAATACATTTCACATGCCTCATTGACAGAGGATCACAGACCTTAAACCTCACCAAAACCCAGCAGGCACTTTGTGTATATCTTCATTCAATATTCTACAAATCCTACACCAGTGTGTAGGATTTACTGGCATCTAGCAGTGAAGTCAGATGGCAACTAACTGAATACAGCCAGCCTTCCAAGTGTGTATTTAATTTATGGTGGTTGCGAAACTCGCGAAAAAAGTAAATGGCCCTATCTAGAGCCAGTGTTTGGTTTGTCTGTTCTAGGCTATGGTGGACTGTGTAGAAAAGAACCCGCTCCCTCTGTAGATACAAATGTTTAAATCTAAGGTAACGATTCTTATTTTCAAATGATTACACACTTATGAAACTATGAATATTATATTCAATTTCTGACAATAGATCATCCTAAAGGTTACACAGTGGACCTTATAGAATATTTAGACAGACACATGGATTTAGCTGTAATTGACCTTGTGTGCTGCTTGATCATATTTAGCCACAACTAAACCAACTACAGTGACACCAGAGTTCTGCTCCATGCTGGAGACTATGAGGGGACTGCAGCAGGTGTGACAAACACTAAATGTCACACTTCTCACTACCGCTGGTAAATGGTTAAAGAGAGTGAGACAACTGTGTGCTCCACGTGCTCTGATTTTATTGCTTTTTTTCTGTCTGTTAAGATGGAGGAGCTCCTTGATGCTGGAGTTTCACAATGGGCTACTTTTTATTTTTGCATCGCCTGTGGTAAGCTCTGAGTAGAGTGTAAAGAAAACAACATTTTCAATGCCATCTGCAAGTCCCAAAGTATCTCCTGCTAAAGTGCTTTGGACAACTGTCCTAATCCTCTTTACAGCACGTAGGTGAGAATCTCCCATTCTCTCCCATCAGCATGATGAGATGTCCAAATTGAGGCCTCCCTCCCATTGAGGAAACACTGAACGCCATCACTTTCATGGAGATGTCTTTTCCCAGTGCTAAAACAAGCAAGGTTAGCTCTTCTGATTTGAGTTTTCCAACAAGTTTGTCTGCACAGTGCAGAGTCTGAACAGTAGCATGCTCTGTACTGGATGCCAGGATGGATAGGTTGCACATTATTCCAAGTAACCCACAATATTTGGCCGATGTCGGCCTTCATCATGTCAGTTCTAGTGTTAGATAATCCTCTTGCTGTTTGGCTATACAGGGGTCCACAGGAATGGGTTGCAGATTATTTATGTAGATACCTTGCACCTGTATCTCATCCTCCAGAGAATGAACCTCTGTTCCAATGTAGCTGGAGCTCTAGGGTTTTTCACATCCTACTTGAAAAGAAGGTTTTAAGTGAGGGATGACTGTTGTGAAAAATGTGTCTGAACTACTGAAATTATGTCATTCACATGAAAAGCAAGGACATCACATCACATACATCCAGTAACACTACTGGATCTTCTTTACCAGTACCCGTTCATGACGTCACCTAATAGCTTGTGGAGTACCATTTTGAAGCCTCAAGTTTGGTATTATGGTCGTCGCCCTGACATTATGGTTGTCTAAGCCAGCGAATGTGACATTTTTGACTCATCTGTAGCAGGAAACAATGGAGGCTCACCTGGTCACACACAATCTCGTATTTCAGATGAACACTACACTAAAATATGTTTCTGAAAGGATTTGAGGAGAGAAATAGTCAACACAGTAACAGAATATTGATCAAAATTTGATCCGCACTGCCTAGTTTTAAAGTTTGATCTGAGTTTGGTGGGTTCAATTCAATTCAGTACAATTCAGTTTTATTTGTATAGCGCCAATTCATAACAGAAGTTATCTCAGGACACTTTTCAAGTAGAGCCGGTCTAGACCGAACTCTTTATAACATTATTTACAGAGACCCAACAGTAACACCATGAGCAAGCACTTGGCGACAAGGGCAAGGAAAAAAGCTGGATGGACTCACTGAGAATGACCTGTCAGTCATAAGGTAG